AATTTTTTTAACCCGAATATATTTTAATATGTGTACACCCTAATAAATGTTGTACTTTTATAATATATATGGTCAGCTTAACCCTTCTGGTGAGCAGTTAATCTCTGCCCAGAACACATCCTGTTTTTCACCAGCAGACAGTGATGGGGCCAGATATAAGCCCCATACAATCTTTCCAATGATCAGATTTGGACACAGTTTCACTGTGGCTTTTGAAACATAACTTCATTATATACCTGCCCGTGTGATTTGATTTGATTCCGTTTGTATCTTCTACTTCTGTTTTCTGCCAATAAAATGTGGAGCATCAAGAGAATTTCAAAACCCATGTGCAATGAATTGTATGGCTACTCTTTGGCCTGTTTACTCGGAAGTAAGGCTTGACTTGAGTCTCCAGGAGAATGACAAACCATCTCCATCTCCGTAAGGCAGAGACGTTCCCCCAGGCGTTTGGTTGAGGACAGCGACGGTCAATGCCATCCTATCAGGTTGTTTTTTGTATTTTTTTTTATCGTACTTCTGTTCTCAAATTATCAAACTAATATAGAATGTGTTTTTATTAATATACACCGCCCTGAGGCCTGCTTTTCAGGGGAGGGCAGTTTAAAAATCTAATTTAGTAAACAATAAATAAAAAATAAATGTTGTTGTTTCAGATTGCTGCAATCCTAATCCTATTATATGGCTAACTGGGAGTTCCACCCTGCCAATCACATAATCCACCTTGAGTCTCAGTGAAAAGGCTACCTCTAAAAAAAACTGAAAAAGGCAGCTAAAACAACAGCTTTTATTATTTCAAAGAGGCAAACTCCAAAATGTCCAGTGGGACTTACTTCTGAGCGGTGTTCCCTCTAAGCTGAGTGAGTGTGAGCTAGCTCACAGTTTTTTAGCCTCCAGCTCACAGATTGTTGTCTTCGCTCAGGAAGGAGGGCTCCAGAGCAAACTGCAGTAGCCAAATCGCTCACTCACAACTTTAATGCCAGTAGCTCACAAAGTAGAATTTTTCCTCACAGGACTCTCCACAGCTTAGAGGGAGCATTGCTTACGAGCAAACATTTTCGGAGTTGTAGTACACACGCACATTTACCTGAACTCAGCCGGCCTGCCGGAGGAGGAGGAGGAGGAGGAGGAGGAGGAGGAGAAGAAGAAGAAGAATTGGATTTATACCCCACTCTTTGCTACCCAAGGGAGTAATAAAATTTTACTCTATGTTGGTACCAGGTCCTGTGGAGTTATTACACCATCCTTCCTTCAAGGAACTCAGAAGACAGCATCTCCCCGCACCCCCCCCCCTGCTTCTCCCTTCTCCTCCTGGCCAAATTTATACCCACCCACTGCTGGTACCTCGAGGAGCTCCCCACAGTGACCAGAAGCCCTGACATTTTGTGTCCCACACAGTAGCCCCGAAATTTAATGGCTCTTACTTCTGAGTAAATATGCACAGAATCAGGATGGAAGGCTACTATTCCCTGTGAGAAAGTTTATCTCCCCACCCCCCATTATTAATTTGAACCTCCCATTTGGCAGATAGAAGAAGAGAAGAAAATATTGGATTTGTACCCCGCCCTTCACTCAAGAGTCTTAGCACGGTCCATCAGCAATGTCCAATGTTTCTGTCAGAGCTCTCTCAGCCCCACCTACCTCACAGGGTGTTTGTTGTGGGGAGGGGAAGGGAAAGGAGTTTGTAAGCCGCTCTGAGACTCCTTTGGGTAGTGAAGGGCGGGGTATAAATCCAATCTCCCCCTCCCCCTCTTCTTCTTCTTCTTCCCCACTCCTAACCTCCACTGCTCAGTTTGGTACCTCTATACTTTTCCCTCCCGTGAGTCAAACCAAAGAGCAACCAAAATGAGACTGCATCTTTATCCCCCGCCCCCCCCCACATTTGAGCTGTTCTCTCTTGAACCTAAAAATGGAACAGAAGCTTAAACCAGGTGTCTGATTTTTTTTTTTTTAAAGAAAAATAAATGACACTGAGGTACAGTCACTGGCCCCCACATGGGATGAAACACAAGCATAATTTGGGAGAACCAGGTTTGCTTCCCCGCTCCTCCACATGCAGCTGCTGGCGTGACCCTGGATCAGTATATGTACACATCCAGTATATATACACATCTTTGGGTCAGTCATAAGTTCTTTTAGAGCTGTTCTCTCAAGGGCAGTTCTTGAGAGAGCTCTCTCAGCCCCACCTACCTCACAGGGTGTCTGTTGTGGGGAGGGGAGGGGAAGGGAAAGGAGTTTGTAAGCCACTCTGAGACTCCTTTGGGTAGTGAAGGGCGGGGTATAAATCCAATCTCTTCTCTTCTCTGTTTATAAGTAGAAAGAGCTTCCCTGGGGAGAAGTTAAATCTGATGATTTATGCCTACAGAGTCCCAGATGGTTCAGAGGGAGGTGGGCACCCACTGTCAAAGCCTTGGGGGGGGGCAGGAAATACCAAAAGACTCAAGGAGGAGTGGAAATTTGGCACAGGAGGGCTGGATGCTTGATTGAGTAGAGAGAATTTAATTTTTTTAAAATGCCCCCCCCCCAATTGCCTTTTCTATGGAATTATTCCCCATTCTCATCTCACTGAAAACAAGCAAAACAGTTGCCCAAATAATCCATTTAAGATGCCGTAACAGTCTAGGATTTCCCTCGCATGGCCACCTTTCCTTCCCCACTTCCTACTCATATTCCCTCCAGGAATTGTTGGTGTTTCCAACTGATACATGATTTTAGGTCAGAATACAGTACCACAGCCTCTTCAGTTACCTTCGACATGAACTGCAAACACTGCATTCATTAGCCTGTTGAGTGAAATAGATTAAAAAGACGACGAAGAAGAAGAGATTGGATTTATACCCCGCCCTTCACTTGGGAGTCTCAGAGCGGCTTACAAACTCCTTTCCCTTCCCCTCCCCACAACAGACACCCTGTGAGGTAGGTGGGGCTGAGAGAACTCTGACACAAACTGCTCTTTTTCAAGGACAGCTGCGCCAGAGCTTGTGACTGACCCAAGGTCACATCAGCAGGTGCAAGTGGAGGAGTGGGGAATCAAACCCAGTTCTCCCAGATTAGAGTCCGCACCCTTAACCACTACACCAAACTGGCTACACCAAAAGTCCTAGAATGCATTCAATCTTTTAACTGTGCCCACTCCCCGTGTAATTGAGAAGCAGATTTTTAAAATATATCCGTTCTTTTAAAATAAAAAATAGTTTCAAAAAATCCCAACAGGCAAGTGCTATCTCAGAAGAGGCATTCCCCTCTTCTCTCTCTCTCTCTCTCTCTCTCACACACACACACACAGGAGAGAATTCCTCTTCTAAGATGATTCCTTCTTGGATGAGGCATTCTCTCTTGTCTTATATACAGGAGAGAATTTCTCTTCTGGGATCATGCCTTCTTTAAAGAGCATCCTCCTTTTCTCATAGGAAGGAACAACTCTCTAAAGATAGTCTCTTTTTGGAAGTAGTAGTCCCTCTTGTCTCACACATAGGAAGGAATGCCTCTTCTGAAATTATTCCTTCTCGGAATAGCATTCCCTCCTCAGGGAATACCTGTTTGGGAATGGTGCCTTCCTTTTATACACCCTCCTTTTTTACATAAGGGGGAATGCCTCTTCTGAAAACATGCCTTCTTGGAAGAGGAAGAAGAGGAAGAAGAGGAGGAGGAGGAGGAAGAGGAGGAGGAAGAAGATGAGGAAAAGGAAGAAGAAGGAGGAGGAGGAGGAGGAGGAGATTGGATTTATACCCCGCCCTTCACTTGGAGTCTCAGAGCGGCTTACAAACTCCTTTCCCTTCCCCTCCCCACAACAGACACCCTGTGAGGTGGATGGGGCTGAGAGAACTTGTGACTGACCCAAGGTCACATCAGCAGGTGCAAGTGGAGGAGTGGGGAATCAAACCCGGTCCTCCCAGATTAGAGTCCTTCTCTCACACATAGGAAGGAACGCTGAAATTATTCCTTCTTGGAACAGCATTCCCTCTTCAAGGAATATCTGTTTGGAAATGGTGCGTTCCTTTTATACACAAGAGGGAATGCCTCTTCCGAAAACATGCCTCCTTAGAAGAGGCCTTCCCCTTCCCTCCCACACAGGAAGGAATGCCTCCTCTGAAATTATTCCTTCTTGGAACAGCATTCCCTCTTCAAGGAATATCTGTTTGGAAATGGTGCGTTCCTTTTATACACAAGAGGGAATGCCTCTTCCGAAAACATGCCTCCTTAGAAGAGGCCTTCCCCTTCCCTCCCACACAGGAAGGAATGCCTCCTCTGAAATTATTCCTTCTTGGAACAGCATTCCCTCTTCAAGGAATATCTGTTTGGAAATGGTGCGTTCCTTTTATACACAAGAGGGAATGCCTCTTCCGAAAACATGCCTCCTTAGAAGAGGCCTTCCCCTTCCCTCCCACACAGGAAGGAATGCCTCCTCTGAAATTATTCCTTCTTGGAACAGCATTCCCTCTTCAAGGAATATCTGTTTGGAAATGGTGCGTTCCTTTTATACACAAGAGGGAATGCCTCTTCCGAAAACATGCCTCCTTAGAAGAGGCATTCCCCTTCTCTCGCACGCATTTCCTCTGCAATGATATCTTCCATTACACATGCCTATGTTATATAAAAGCCAAAAAATACGTGTTCCGCAACCACTGTTTTTAAATGTAGGCAAACAGATATGTTTGAAACCAACAGCTTCATCAACAACAAGGGTTTCTTTAATCAGATGACAGACCTAGTTATGACATGTGCTATGTTAGCATTCTAATGTGAGCCCTGAAATTGCGTCAAGAGCACCGGACCTCCAACAGAACCTTTAATGGCCTGCAATCGCTCCAGTGGCTATCAAACCTGAACGGAAAAAAATGCAACAGACCAACACCCAGTTTCCCTCACATGCGAAATGGTGGGTATTCCAATATGGCTTTTCTCCAGCGTGGATCCTTTGCCTTCCCCGGTCTCTTAAGACGCTAGCTCAGACAAAAGCCGTTCCCTGAGCCAGGTTGTTCTGCCTGTGTCTTCTCCACGGTGTGGTTCCGTCGGTGCCTTATCAAGTGCGACTTGCTGATGAAACCCTTCCCGCACACAGTGCACTTGTAGGGCTTCTCCCCTGTATGGGTCCTCCCGTGCGCGAGAAGGTTCGAGGTGCTGCTGAAACTCTTCCCGCAGGCGCAGCACTGATACGGCTTCTCCCCCGTGTGCGTCCTCTCGTGCAGGATCAAGTGGGAGCTCTGGATGAAGGTCTTCCCGCAGTACGAGCACTCGTATGGTTTTTCCCCGGTGTGGGTCCTCTCGTGGGTCACCAGGTGTGACCTGCGGCTGAAGGTCTTCCCACAGAACGAGCACTGGTAGGGTTTCACCCCGGCATGGATTCGCTGGTGCCTCAGAAGTTGGTCCTGACAGCCGAGGTCTTTCCCGTCCCCCCTTGGGTAAGTCGGCTCCTGGATTTCAACCTGTTCGTATTTCACCAGGACCAAGTCCTGCACACAGGCTTCCTCAGACCCGGCCTGCTGTTGCTGGTGCAGTGGGGCTTCGTTGAGGGATTTCTTGTTTGCCCCACAGGGAACGGGTTTCCCCACATGGTTCCTTGGAAGAGTCCCCTGCTGTCTCTTCAGCTTCCGCGGATTCGCTGAGGCTTGGCCCTCCGTGTAAATCTTGCTTTCTTTCCGTTGGGGTGGTACCACTCGATCGGGATTCTCCAGTCTACTTGTTGCATCGTTGCACTCGTTCTCTTGCCTGTAATCTGTGGACAGTAACATAAGGACAGAAGATAAGGACATAAGAGAAGCCATGTTGGGACCAGGCCAAGGGCCCATCCATTCCAACACTCTGTGTCACACAGTGACCCAAACCCAGGGGCCATCAGGAGGTCCACCAGTGGGGCCAGAACTCCAGGAGCCCTCACACTGTTGCCCCCCAAAGCATCCAGAATACAGAGCACCACTGCCCCAGAGAGAGTGCTCCATAAGGGCTCTTTTTGTAGCAGGCTCTTTTGCATATTAGGCCACCCCCCCTAATGTAGCCAATCCTCCAAGAGCTTACAGAGCTCTTCTTACAGGGGCTACTGTAAGCTCTTGGAGGATTGGCTACATTAGGGGTGTGTCGCTTAATATGCAAATGAGTACCTGCTGCAAAAAGAGCCCTATACCTTGTGGCTAATAGCCACTCATGGCCTTTTGCTCCATACATTCATCCAATCCCCTCTGGAAGCTGTCTATGTTTGTAGCTGCCACCATTTCCTGCAGCAGTGAATTCCACAGGTTAATTACTATTTATTTATTTATTTATTGCTTCTATTTGTATCCCGCCTTGCCAGACACGCTGTCTCAAGGCGGCTAACAAAGTTAAAACAACATAAACAATACAGAGTTAAAACAATTAATAAATACAATACCAAATTAAAACAGCAACCGTTTACAAATAAAACCGACAGGTGACGGCGATAGTCTAAATCACATCCAATTGATCGGGGTAGCATCCAGCGAGGTCTCAGGCCAGAAGATGTTCTAGATTTCAGGCCAGAAGATGTTCCAGGGCACATTCATCAGTGGCAGCCCCTAATCGAAAGCCGGGTGGAAGAGCTCCGTTTTACAGGCCCTGCGGAACTGTAAGAGGTCCCGCAGGGCCCTGATGTTCTCTGGGAGCTCATTCCACCAGGCTGGGGCTGCCACTGAGAAGGCCCTGGTCCTGGTGATATTCAGCCTGGCTTCTTTTGGACGAGGGAGGGTCAGGCGATGTTGTGACCCTGACTGCAGTGCTCTCTGGGGCACATATGGAAAGAGGCGGTCCCTCAAGTAGGCAGGCCCCCGACCATATAGGGCTTTAAAGGTTAGAACCAGCACCTTGAACCGGATCCGGTACGCTATAGGCAGCCAGTGCAGTGTCCTCAGCACAGGCTGGATATGGTCCCGTATAGAGAGACCCATCAGCAGCCTGGCTGCGGCATTCTGCACTAGCTGCAGCCTCCGGATCTGGGACAAAGGCAGCCCCATGTAGAGAGCGTTGCAGTAGTCTAATCTCGAGGTGACCATTGCGTGGATCACTGTTGCAAGGTCATTGTGTTCGAGGAAGGGAACCGGCCGCCTAATCAGCCATAGGTGGTAAAAGGCCACCTTGGCAGTGGCTGCTACCTGGGCCTCCATTGTTAAAGAGGCCTCCAGGAGCACTCCCAGACTCCTAACCCTCGGTGCTGGCAACAGTGGCGCCCCACCGAAGGTCGGTACTCTTTGGGTGAAGAAGTACTTCCTTTTATCTCTTCTAAGCCTGCTGCTCATTAATTTCACTGAACGTCCATGAGTTCTTGTATTGTGAGAAAGGGAGAGAGGTACTTCTCTCTCTACCTCCTCTATCCCATGCATATTTTTTTCTAAACCTCTATCATGCCATCCCTCAATTGTCTTTTCTCCAAGCTAAAAAGCCCTAACCTCTTTTCTTCATAGGGAAGGTGTTCCACCCCCTTAATCCTTTTAGTTGCCCTTTTCTGCACCTTTTCCAATGTTGAATATCTTTTTTGAAGCGTGGTGACCAGAAGTGTACACAGTATTCCAAATGAGGCCACACCACAGATTATACAGGGGCATTATGATCCTGGCTGATTTGTTTTCAATCCCCTTCCCAATAATCTCCAGCACAGCATTTGCCTTTATATTGCAGTTGCACACTGAGTCGACATCTTCAGTGAGTAATCGACCACAACTTCAAGATCTGGAATGGATTGACAAAGCCAGCCAAGGGATTAATGTTGTGCCCATTTAGCTGGTAGCAAGGCTTATTTATTTGGAAGTCTAACCCCCTACCAATGCAGGAACAACTGTAATATCCCCAATTTACTTCTGAGTAGACACACACAGGCATGCCACCAATCACATCAACCGCTGAAGAGACTGTGTGTTCTCGTAGATAAGTGGGGACCCACGAGGACTCGCGAGGATAGGGAAATCCATCCTCCTCCCTAGCTCAGATCCCCCCTTTCACTCACCAACTGCCTTCATTTCCCCTTTCCAGCTCCCCCCCTGCAAAGATATTTGAGGGAGCATCTTCCATCTTGGGGAAGCCATACTCCAAGGAATACAGGCCTCCTTCAGCTGCCAATAACCCCTTCTCTTGGTGCTGGCAGCCAGTACCAGTAGCTTGATGTTGGCCGCCATTTCAGATTGCTATGGCAACCCTAAACGCATCTTAAACGCCTGTTATACATACAGACATTGCTTTGCACATTCCCCCCCACCCTGATATAAATACTTGTTAACAGATTAGATATTTCCGCAAATGCAGATGTTCTCAAGGGATGGCAGGACTCTCAGCTGCAATTACAACTGGTCCCACTGTGCAACATTTTGATCCACAAAGGAGCTATTAAACACGAGGTTGAGAACATGCTGAAAATGAAATAACACACACCCAGCTTTCCCTAGTCAGCAAAGATATTTGAGGGAGCATCTTCCATCTTGGGGAAGCCATACTCCAAGGAATACAGGCCTCCTTCAGCTGCCAATAACCTCAAGAAATAGACTAGAAAATACACAGATGTATGTCACAATAGACATACAGCTGCTGCTGTGCATCCATTGATTCGGACTCCCTTGCTAATGTCTGCAAAGCAGTGCACACACCTGTTTCCTGTCCTCACATTACCTCACTGGCTATCAGCACCACAGGTGGGGAGGCACACAACATGACAAGGCTATATATTGTGTGTTTGCATTGTAGTGTATGCTACTAGGAAGAAACTCAGAAGGACCATTTAGCCCAGCCTTCTGTTCCATGCAGTGGCCATCCAGCTGCCCCAGAAGGTCCACAAGAACAGGCACAGAGGTCAAAATCTCCTCCTCTTGCGACCTCCCTGCCCAGCATCTGGTATTCAGAAGGTATGCGACCTCTCAACATGGAGGCTGTTCCTCCATCATGGCATCTCTGTGTGTGAAATGTCCGTGCAAACAGATTGCAGCGATTTCATGTGTGGGCTCTGAGCCTCTTTATCTGATGAAGGGCCCTGTTATATCACACCAAGGGGCCATCTCATTTCCAGCATCAGCCAGCCAGATGCCTCTGGGAACCCTTTCAAGCAGTCCCTGGCATATGGCAGGCAGGTATACTACTGCTGTGCCTGGAGGCTCTTGAAGGTTGAAGGGGGTTCAAAGAACTACACACGACACAGGTCTGCAGAAAGCTGACTGACTCCAGCCTGGAGCCCCAGTGTTTTAATAGATTTTCTTCACTCCTTCCCCCTCCTATACATCAAATCACTCCACCATGAGAACAGACATCAGGAATGTGTTATGCTAACAGTGCACTCTCTTATCTTCCCTGTCTCTCTGCCAAGTGACTTCATTCTTATGAAGTCAGCAGATGTTACCTCATGCACTCAGCACTCACATACTCTAGTTCCCATTCTCCAGGCAGGAAAAGTGAATCCCGGGTTTGCCACGCAGGAATGTGTTATGCTAACAGTGCATAACACATTGCATAACAGTGCATAACACATCCCACAGGCTCTGTGCTTGTTTCTTATGGTTAATAGCTGGCTATAGGTATGCCAACGAACAGGTATGAGCACAGAAGCTCCATTTATTTCATATGGTTAATATGTCCATGCCTATAGACAAGTATACTTCCTCTGTGCATAGAAGCTCTATTCTTATTCCTTATGGTTAACAGCTGTCTAGAGACACTGCCTCTGTCTCTGAACATGGAAGCTCCATTCTTATTTCTTGTGGTTAACAGCTGATCACAGACATGCCCACCTTCATATTTATCCCTGACTTTGCTACCCGTTCTGTTTAACTGGAAATCCTGGGGATTGAACCTGGGACCTTCTACATGCCAAGCAGATGCTCTGCCACTGAGCCATAGCTCTCTCCTTAAATAAGCCTGCCTTTTATTTATTTATTTATTTGGATTTATATCCCGCCCTCCCCAAAGGCTCAGGGCGGCTAACAGAGGCATAACGCCAAGTAATAACAATAAAACAGTAAAATACTGACTGAAAATACAGAATAAACAATTAAATAATTAAACAGAGTTCATAAAAACATTTTCAGTGCTCCCCTACTCACTTCTGAATTTTAAAGTCAAGATGGTGTTCTCGATGATATAGCTACATAACAGTGCATATCCCCACTGTTGTCCCCTAGGCACGTCCCACTCCCTCTGATGGTACCCGCACCAGCGGTGGCAACGTGCAGAAATTATAGGGCGTTGATGGAACAGTGGCGGCGGCGGCTCCTATTCAAAAACCTGGTGGAAGAGCTCCGTCTTACAGGCCCTGCGGAACTGTACGAGATCCCGCAGGGCCCAGATCTCCTCTGGGAGCTCGTTCCACCAGATAGGAGCCGCCACAGAAAACGCCCTAGCCCTGGTCATTGCGAATTTGATGGTCTTGGGGCCTGGAACATCCATGAGATTTTGGTTCCCCGAGCGTTTTACTGAGTTAGGCCTTTGGTCTGCTTCATCCTTTCATCAAATACAAAAAGAGGGACCATGCTGGAAGAAGGCAAAGTCAAATATTACACCGTGTGTGATAACCAATAAGCTGAAATCATTATGAAATTTGCAAACATCTATCATTCTACAAATACCACAATACAGGCAAGTATAAAAAAACAAAACATGTAAACACTCACAATCAACCACATAATGCGCAAATGTAGGTCAATAAACTTCCAAAGATCCACTGTAGTAGTGTGTCATTATTTAGAGCCAAAGGCTATAATACAGCACAAATGAGTCAAAAATATTACAGCAATTCCATGATTCACAACTCAGCGGATACCTGGTTGACATCCATTTCACTACACTTCTTCAAAAATCGTGAACTTTGCCAATAGATTTCCTTTGAGAACCAAAGACTTCCAAACTTGATTCAATGAAATTCCTTCTCCAAACCGATTTTAGTCTGAGGCTTCATTTCCCCACTTTAAAAAAATGAAAAGATTTCTAAACAGAACACCACTGTTATAAGCTTCCAATTGGAACGATCCTAATATACTCAAATTCACGTCTGTATTTTTTGTCATATTTGTAGAATAATAGATGTTTGCAAATTTCATAATGATTTCATTTTATTGGTATCATCCTTTCATCAGGCAAAGCCAGGGACTGAACCCAGGACCTTCTGATACCAAGCAGAAACTCTACCACTAAACCATGATGTATTGGCCTGGGTAACTTCACATTTAGGAGCTGTGGTGGCTCAAGTGGTTAAGACGCTGAACTGCAGGCTGTGGAAGGTCAGTAGTTCAGCACTTCGAGACCCAGGTGCCGCATGATGGAGTGAGCTCCCGTCTTTAGTTCCAGCTCCTTCCAACCTAGCAGTTCGAAAGCAAGAAATTGCAAGTAGATAAATAGGTACCACTTCAGTGGGAAGGTAACAGCGTTCCATGCGCCTTGGTGTTTAGTCATGCCGGCCACATGACCACGGAAACGTCTTCGGACAGCGCTGGCTCTTTGGCTTTGAAACGGAGAGTCGGATTCGACTGGCTTTCGAGCAAGGGAACCTTTACCTAACTCCACATTTGCTACATGCTGGTGCTTAGTTGTCCTGAGTCTGGGGAGAAGATAGTGTTAGCCGCTCTCAGGGGAACTTTCTGTCTCTCACGCTTGTTAACAGAACTTATCTTCAAGGCCTGGGTTATTTCTTCCCCCGACTGGAAGCCTTGTGTTTGGGACAGCTCAATTAATCTCACTTTGACTTGCAGCCAGCATTTGGGGTATAAGATGCCTAGTTCTAGTAATGCCTTTGGTCTCGAGGCCTGGCTAAGTTTCACTGTGCGCGTGTGCGCGTCTCGAGGACAGTGGATGGAAGCCTAGCCTGTTATCTTCTTTGATCACTTTGATGGGTTATTAAAGATCTCCTTGCAAGTAAACTCAGATCTCTCATGTCGGTTCTTTGGGAACTTCTGCGAACCTATGGAGCCCCTGGGCAGGGTCTGTAACACATGGCCCCCTCCCTAAAGATAAGAACATAAGAACATAAGAACATAAGAGATGCCAATGTTGGATCAGGCCAAAGGCCCATCCAGTCCAACACTCTGTATCACACAGTGGCCAGAAATACCAGGTGCCATCAGGAGGTCCAGCAGTGGGGCCAGGACATTAGAAGCCCTCCCACTGTTGACCCCCCCAAGCATAGATTCAGGTGGGTAGCCGTACTGGTTTGAAACAACAGAACAAATTTCGAGTCCAGTGGCACCCTTAAGACCAACAAAGTTTTATTCTGGGTCTAAGCTTTCATGTGCATATGAAAGCTTACGCACAGAATAAAACTTTGTTGGTCTTAAGGGTGCCACTGGACTCGAACTTTGTCCCCCTCCCTAAATGGTGGTCTTCTGCAGTCAGGGACTGAAGACAGAGCGAACCCCGAGGTTCCCTGCAGGGAGAAAAGGAGACTCTCCTGGAAATTCCACAGCAGCTTTACCTTGTAAGCTCCCATCTTCACAATCCTCCTCATCCTCATCCTCCTCTTTGGCCTCCCTGCATTTTCCCTCCTGCCCTGTGTCCGATACGACCTGCAAAGCTTCGGAGAAACTCACAGTTGCCTCCTCAAATGATGGTGGCATCTGGAACAACAGCAGAAAGAGCCAGTTTGGTGTCGTGGTCAAGTGCGCGGACTCTAATCTGGGAGAGCCGGGTTTGATTCCCCACTCCTCCACTTGCACCTGCTGGATAACCTTGGGCAAGCCGTAGTTCTGTCAGAGCTGTTCTTGAAAAAAGAGCCGTTTCTGTCAGAGCTCTTTCAGCCCCACCTGCCTCACAGGGTGTCTGTTGTGGGGAGGAAAAGGGAAAGGAGATTGTAAGCCGCTCTGAGACTCCTTTGGGCAGTGAAGGGTAGGGTATAAATCCTATCTCTTCTCTTCTCCTTCTTCTTTCACAACTGTCCCTGCACAACATGAGACATAACTACTGCCACTGAGGAAATCTAGGCAGTCAGTACTGTGCAGTGGTTAGAGAGGTGGATATAGACTGAGGAGGTCTGGGTTTGAATCCCCACTGAGCCTTGATGCTCACCGGGTGACTCTGAAAGTCTAACCTACCTCACAGGTGATCAAGTGGGGGGGGGAGGAAAGGGACATCTGCTGCCTCAATCAAAAGCCTGGTGGAAGAGCTCCGTCTTGCAGGCCCTGTGGAATTATAATAAATAATAAAATCTCACACAGGACCTCATTCCGCCAGGTAGGGGCCAGAGTTGTAAAGGCCCTGGCCCTAGTTGAGGCAACTCGGACATCCCTGGGGCCGGGAACTACCAAAAGATGCTGGTTGGTAGACCTCAGTGCTCTACGGGGCTTCTATGGGGAGAGGTGATCTCGGAGATACTGGGCCAAGGTCACCCAGGGAGCTTCTATGACAGAACGGGGAGTCAAACCTGGGTCTCTCGTATTTTACTCCGACATTCTAACCCCTGTACCAAACTGACTGAAAGGGACTGACCTGTTTATCCTGGCTCTCCGCTTCCCGCTGCAACTGCAGGAAATCCTCGGCCAGGGATACTGCCTGGGAGCAGGTCTCCGGTCCGCCTTCTCTGACCCAGCTCTGGATCTCCGGGGGCAGGACGGCCAGGAACTGCTCGAGGACCAGCAGCTCCAGGATCTGCTCTTTGGTGTGCCTCTTGACCTTCAGCCACCGATGGCACAGTTCCCGCAGCTGCCTGCAAGCCCCTCTGGGCCCCTCGGCCTCCTGGTAGCAGAAATGCCGGAAGTGGTGACACCACCTCTCCCTGGCTGCGGCGTCCTGCCGCAAGATGGCCGCCTTGACCTTCCCATAGTCCTCTCTGTCGCCGACCTCCAGCCTGTTAAAGGCCTGCTCGGCTTCCCCCCGGAGGGCTGGCAGAAGCCGGGCCACCCACTCCTCCCTGGGCCACCGGCAGGCTTCGGCCACTTGCTCGAAGGAGGCCAAGAAGGCCTTGGCATCGTCCCAGGGGGCTGGCTCTTCTGGGAAAGGTGCCACACCCCAACCTAAGTCAGGGGCCTCCACAGTCTTCAGGAACTCCTGCCACTGGGCGTCCCACTGCTGAAGAAGACCCTCACATGGCTCCTGTTTCACCTGATCCACTGCGAGCCTTCGCTTGAATTCCTGGACACTCTCAGCACAGGCAACGTGAGGCGCTTGTTCAGCTTCCCCTGATGCTTCCATCGGTGTGGGTCCTCCTGGCTTTTGCTCCTCTGCCTTCATTCTTGGGGAGTCCCATGGCTTGAACACAGCACGGAACTGAAATTCTGGCCGCCTCCCTTGGTCTGTGTCCATATTTCTCTCTCTGACCACAGCAGATCTGAAGATTCCCCTTCCAGTGGACCAGGGGCGTTCAACTGCACAGCATCTGTCTGGTTTTCTCCTTCTCCCTAGCTAGGAGGCCTTCTGCCTGTGAGGGGAAAAGGATAAAGTCAGAAGAAGGAGAAATAAATGTTAAGTATGACACTTAACTCGGAGGAACAGTTCAACAAGTGATTCAGCTTTATTTCAGCTCCGGAACAGTGAGAGCAGCATGAAAAGCTTAGACCTGCTAAGGACTAGACCAGCTAGCATTTCAGTAGGCAAAACGGCAACTTATATACAATTCTGGCTGAGACAGCCACACCCCCAATATTTACAGTATCCAATCACAGTATGTACAATATAACCAATCACAATCAAGAGATAACGTCCAATCACATTACATTACAGCACCAATCAAAACCATCCCCTCCAGAAGGCATACCAATGGTCAGTATTTACAATACGCATAATGAGCGATGTTAAATAGGCTTCACTTTATGTTTTCTCAAGACATAACAATAAACCTTCTGAGCTCTTTGACTGCCACAAAGGCGGCAGCTGATCTGCACGGCGGCCATCTTTTCATAGCTGATCGTCACAGAGCCAAAATTGGGGTTTACAGCTGATGGACCAGTTTGATTAATTCGTTAAAAACCTTTGGCTCCCACTAAAATGCATTAAACTGGAAACGCTTTTGTAAAAGAAAAATGTTCACTGTGTATTTGTTGAGACCAACAAGATATATATAAAGGTAAAGGTTCCCTTGCTCGAAAGCCAGTCGAATCTGACTCTAGGGTTGCAGTGCTCATCTCCTGCAGTTCAGCGTCTTAACCACTTGAGCCACCGCAGCTCCATATATATATAACAACTTATATAAGAACATAAGAACATAAGAGATGCCAATGTTGGATCAGGCCAAAGGCCCATCTAGTCCAACACTCTGTCACACAGTGGCCAAAAATACCAGGTGCCATCAGGAGGTCCACCAGTGGGGCCAGGACATTAGAAGCCCTCCCTCTGTTGGCCCCCCCAAGCACCAAGAAGACAGAGCATCACTATATATCTAAAGTTATTATACATTACAGGGTATATAGTACAGAAAATATTTCTCCCCAACATCCCCTTCATTGTAATTTCTAAGACATTTTCCGTGGAATACAATAGTCCTTCAAACACTTTAGATTTCAAATTTCATAGCTGATCTATTTTGCAACTATATTGTTAATGTCATCATTATTTCATATTCTATATTACACATTCTGTCATTTTTGCATAATAGCTATAGTTTGTAATATACCAATGTTTAAAGGAAAATCCATTATGTATCTCACAATAAAAATAAAGGATATTTTTGTTCAAAATTTACTTCCTTATACAATCATATATTCTAAACTTGTTCTCATTCTGCTTCTACATTGTAATATATTTATATGCATTAGGATACATTTATACACAATTTTTAAACCGCTTCTCATACTAAATTTTAGACTTTCTCGTTCTAGGTTTCTCAAGAATGGACAAGACTGACCAAGTACCACAGTAGAACATTTAGATTCAAGTCCAGTATCATAAGTGTCTACAAAAGCCTGTGTGGGAGGGAGGTTTCACCCCCACCCCCCCAGATACCAGGTTCTGGATCCAAGTAACGCTCCATGAACCTGAAAAAATTTCATCCAGGAAAGTTCAGCAAACATCCACTGGACATGACCCCGGGGTGGGCACAGGGAAGAAGAAAAAGAAGAGTTGGATTTATACCCCGTCCTTCACTCAGAGTCTCAGAGCGGCTTACAATCTCCTTCCCTTCCTCTCCCCACAACAGACACCCTGTGAGGTAGGTGAGGTTGAGAGAGCTCTGACAGAAACTGCTCTTGATAGAACAGCTCAGAGAGAACGGTGGCTTACCCAAGGTCACCCAGCTGGCTGCACGTGGAGAAGTGGGGAATCAAACCTGGTTCTCCAGATTAGAGTCCGCCCCTCTTAACCACTACACCAAACTGACTCTAGGACAGATTCTGGAACAGCGTGACCATGTAGCAATGCCTGTCGAAGATGTATACCCCCTTTCGTGCACAGAGGGGGAATCTCTCTTCAAAGACTGATCATCTAAAAGCAAAGAAAGCATGCCCCCCCAAAAAACCCACTATTGTCTTATTAATATAAGTATCTGTACATAGATTTGAGTAGCTGGGTTGTATAAAAGCTCTTTAATCAGGCAACAGCCCCGCAAAGAGGTGGGCTGTGGGGGGGGGGATCACAGGAGATCGCAGTTCTCCCAGGTGAGGTGCGGGGGGCGGGACACACGACGAAGCCCCGCCCCCTTCTTCCGGCCGCCCCCTGCTTCCAGCCTCATTCTGTTACAGAAGGAGGAAGAAGCAGGAGGGTAAGTTGGCGTCCTCCCCCTCTGCCTGGCCGAGGCCACTCCACGTGGCCTCCGCAAGGACTCCCAGCCCCATCCAGGAGCTTCCCCAAGGTAGCTGTGTTAGTCTGTTGCTGCAAAATAGTCCAAGAGTTCAAATAGCACCTTTAAGACTAACAAATAGCACCTTTAAGACTAACCTTTAAGACTAAGACTGAGTGGTGGGTGTGGCCGTATGACACACTTCCGGTGATGGCAGGGGGTGTGGCCTTATGACACACTTCTGGTGATGTCAGGGGGTGTAGCATATGCTAATGAGTTATGCTAATGAGTTCCCCTAGCTCTTTTTCTACGAAACGACCCCTGGCCCTCAAGATAACAGAAGGTCAAAGTAACAAGATCAGCTCTGCTGGAACCATTCAAAATTCCATTTGCCCCAACATCCTGTTTCCAACAGAGGCCAGGCCCAGATGCTGGGAAGCCCAAAAGCAGGGCATTGATGTGATGGCCCCTTTGTTTATTACACACACACACGTGGTATATAGTAGCATACCGCCTCTGAACATGGAGGCTCCACTTACTGGTCAAGGTAATAGCTATCTGGGGTTTGTTTGTTTGTTTGTTTGTTTGTTTGTTGCATTTATAACCCACCCTCCCCGCATCTCTTTACTTCTCTTTATTTTTTTTATAACCATTTCTATCCTGGCCTTTCCTAAAATCTCAGGACCCCTAACAACAGAGTCATCATTGTCTAAAAAGTGACACCTCCATATTACTTATTTTAAAAAACTAATTGAATCCAATCATATATTTGTATACTGGATCCTCTGGAGGGAAGGAGAGGCAGGGTAAACAAATTAAGGAATAAAACTTGAAAGAGTGGCATTGTCACCCAGTGCAGAGAGCCACATTACTTGGGAAGGTGACGAGGACAGATTTTGATTTCCTACGATCAATCTGATTTAAAGACTATCAGTAGATCAGAGCCGAAGGCCCTCCGGAACACAAAGAAGGGACATGCCTTCAAAGGAGTCCCACATTGGACTATCAAGGTCAGCCTTGTCCATTCTTGAGGGCAGCAGGGACTGAACCAGGGACCTATCGCTGAGATACAATCCCTCTCTTGGATGATGAGGTAAAGGTAAAGGTTCCCTTGCTCGAAAGCCAGTCGAATCCGACTGTAGGGTTGCGGTGCTCATCTCCGTTTCAAAGCCGAAGAGCCAGCGCTGTCCGAAGACGTTTCCGTGGTCATGTGGCCGGCATGACTAAACCCCAAGGCGCACGGAACGCTGTTACCTTCCCACCGAAGTGGTACCTATTTATCTACTTGCAATTTCTTGCTTTCGAACTGCTAGGTTGGCAGGAGCTGGAACTAGAGACGGGAGCTCACTCCGTCATGCGGCACCCAGGTCGCGAACTGCTGAACTACCGACCTTCCATAGCCTGCAGTTCAGCGTCTTAACCACTTGATCCACCGCAGCTCCTTAGATGATGAGGTAAAGGTAAAGTTTCCCTTGCTCGAAAGCCAGTCGAATCCAACTCTAGGGTTGCAGTGCTCATCTCCGTTTCAAAGCCGAAGAGCCAGCGCTGTCCGAAGACGTTTCCGTGGTCATGTGGCCGGCATGACTAAACACCAAGGCGCACGGAACGCTGTGACCTTCCCACCGAAGTGGTATCTATTTATCTACTTGCAATTTCTTGCTTTTGAACTGCTAGGTTGGCAGTTGATGATGATGAGGTACAGCGCCACAAAAAGTCAAGGCAGCCCTCAAGTGCCGTGACGGGGCAGAGGAGCCTTTCAAAAATCAAACCACAGCTGTGGGGCAGGGCCCTTGCTTTGTATGGAGAAGGTCCAGAGTTCAAGTTCTGCTCTCACCTGGGAAACGATCTGGGGTGCTAAGGTTGGGGACAGGGCAACTGGGATTGCCTGGTCCCGTCCCCCCAACACCAGCGGGGGAAGGGGGCTAAGCTCGCCACAGATCCTGGTTGGGAAACTCCTGGAGATTTGGGGACCTCAAGGGGGTACAATGTCACAGAGCCCTTCCTCCAAAGCCTCCATTTCCTCCAAGGGGACTGATGCCTGTAGTCTGGAGAAGAGCTTTAATTCCGGGGGGATCCTTCCTCGGGTCCCACCTGGAGGCTGGTATCTCTAGGGGCAAACCAACTCTGAATGCTGGTGAACAGCTGCCCGTCAGAGCAGGCAACCCCTGGCTTGGGACATATATTATTTTAAACCAGGGGAGACTGAGCCACCTACCCCAGGCCCAGGCCCCGCTCTGTGATGCGCAAAGTCCCGGGTTCGATCCCTCCCTCTTACCGATGACCTTGGACAGCCGCGGGGCAGAGAAGGGCAGGCGGACCCCGGCCTAGACAGGCGCTGTGCCCGGGTCGAAGGGCACCTTCCCGTGTGTGCCTAAGAAACCAGCCCCGGCATGACTCTCCCCCACCCCGGCTTTGCAATAAAAAGCCCCCGCCCGCCCCCAGCACACCTAACATCGTGTGCCTTCCAAGGGAAGCTGGAGACCGGCTCCCTCCCTTTCTCCTGCCCCTGCAGCTTGCTCCCATTCAGACGTGCAATCGCTTACCCGGATCTCTCTCCTCCAGGTCCAGGTACCACCCCTCCCCCCCAGAACAGCTGCTGCAGCTGCCACTCCCGGGGAAAAAGTGCATTC